TACCGCAGAATTACAGGAAACGATCCTCACTTACCCTATCTTAACGAGTAAAATGGGTCCAGACCTATCCTGGCTGTTTAGTCCCGCCAAGCTGCCTAGTCTCCGAAGTCACCCGTTGGAGCTGCGCAAACTGAGGTCTGACCGGGCAAAGACGGAAACTCGCTTGTCGCGCCGCGTTATTGTACGCTGGAGCTCGCTTCCGCAGCAGGTCGTTAGGGAGTCTACGTTTGGAGGTTTCGAGCGTCAGTTAGATGCTGTTGGGTGGCAGTACCAAAACTTCCCTTATCCTAACCGACTTGTATCTTCAACTTTCCCTTCGTTTTTTTAAATTGTTTTTCACACCTTGATACAACATTATTTAGCTGACATTCCTCCTCTTGTTTGCATAGGTTACCCTTCACTTTACCTAAACCGGCCTGGCAAGGACTGCTGGGCAGAAAATGTGGGCAGGGTGTGATGCGGTCTCTGTTTTAGGCTTTCCAACATCTAAAGCAGACGTATAAATTCCCGATCCGACAATACGCAAAAGGCAAAATTACTGGATTAATTGTCGTTCCGGCCCCAGCTGAACTTAAAGTTGAAGTCGACACTTGGACACTATGATGATCGATAGACCAGGAAAAAGTTAAGAGAGCAAGGATGAGCAACATTTATATGGGATAACCTGAATTCCGATAATTTCGTGTCTTCTCATTCAGCCGCTTACAGACAAATCGTGGAAAGAGTAAAGTAATGCACTTGAAAAGGGTGTCAATGGGAAAAGCAATAAAACATTGAGAAAATCAAGCTCATTGCCTGCGCTTTACCAGGGTAAGGTCAGTTTGGTCACAAGGTCCAGCTTGTTGCAAAGGTTTGGTTTCATTCGGCGGATGGCCGAGACTTCGGCGAAACAAAGCAAGCTCGCGTTGTTTTGTCTGATGAAAACCATGAATGCGTCACGCGGGATTTCGCCAGGTATGGGAATGAGGTTGCTAAGAAGGAAACACGGATGGATGTCCCAAAGAAAAAAGTATTTATCACGCTACTATACAAAGGGAACAGAACGACAGAATATTGTTCTACGATTACTCCAAGGCATAAAAAGTACTACTACGCCGCTGGGCACGTGTTGTTTCATCAAACCAAGAAGCTGCTCCATGAATCCAACTTGGATAGGCCTCAATCCCAGGTTACCACATCAGGTGTTTACCTATTCACCTGTACTTGCGGTAGCATATACATTGGCCGAACCGAGAGAAGGCTATCAAATAGGATCATGGAACATGTTCCACGGAACCAGGCAAATAGTGGAACTAAACTCCCAGGCAGCTCCATTGCTCAGCGTCTGCCCGATTGTACTTTGCGCGAAAACCCACCTAACGCATTCAAAGTTATCAGCAGACAAAACAACGCGAGCTAACTTCGATTCGCTAAAGCCTCGGCCATCCGACGAATGAAAGCATACCTTTGCAAACAGGTAGACCTTGTGGCCATTCTTGCCTTGCTTTGGTAAGGCGCAGACAAGGATCTTGATTTCCTCAGTGTTTCAATGCTTTTCCAATTGACCCCCTTTTCAAGTGCATTACTTTACTGTTTCCACGATTTGTCTGTAAGCGGCTGAATGAGAAGACATGAAATAATCTGAATTCAGGTTATCCCGCATAAATGAAGTTCGTCCTTGCTCTCTTAAAATTTCTGAAGGGAAATGGCTGCATGAAATTCTTAAAAAAGACCAGCAAAAGATAAAGTATTTTGCGCACCTCAAAGCCCACCTGAATCACAACGGACAAAACAAACATTTGTCAGAAAGCAAAACACGCGGGTTTTGAACACTAAATTAGCTATGTAGTCTAATTTATGCGAACGTACAGTGTTTGTACTCTTTTCGTCTATCCAGCAAGGTTGACCTAGGCGTCGTACACTCTTGGGCTTTGCACTCCGGCGACAACTAGAAGAAGGCCGCAAGCAGGGATTTCCGCATGTTGTGGTTAATACGACGTTCTTTCGGAGTCTTGACGGGCGGCAGCATCACGAGACTGTTCTCGGCTTTCGTTCGGCCTCATCTGGAATACTGCGTCCAGGCTTGTCCGCCCTGCCTCGTCAGGGACATAATAGAGCTAGAGAGGGTTTTACGAGTGGATACCAGGCTTGTCGAGGGAGTACGGGAACGGACGTACCCCGAGCGTCTACTCAGTTTGGGGATGCATTCAATGCAATACCGAAGGCTTAGAGGAGAACAAATCCTAACCTACCGTACATTAACTAGGAAGGTTGGTCCAGATTTATCTTGGCTATTTGGTCCCGCTATATTGTCTGTTCTACGCGGTCACTCCCTGGAGCTGGACAAAACGCGGTCCGATCGGATTAGGGCGGAACTCCGACTGTCACGGCGAGTTATCGACCACTGGAACATGCTTCCGGAAAGTGTTATCATGGAATCTACTGTTAAGGGGTTTGAGCGGCAACTTGACGCTCTTGGGAGGTAACACGAAACATTTCCATTTTCCTGAGTAACTCGCACCTCCGCACTTCAATTTCCTTTTCTCTACTTTTCTTCACACATTGGTATTATTTTCTTGGTTCAAGTGCACTTACTCATTCTGTAGCTCCGATTCTCTTCTTATCATTTGGTTACTTCACGTGACTTCCACAGCAGGGACTGCCAGGGCAAGAAACGTGGGCATTAACTGGTTGGCCTGGGTGCGATACGGGTGTTCCGTTTTAGATCCATTAATAACTGAGCACTTCATCAATTCCTGGCTAAACGATCCACTCAAAATGGAAGACTCCCGGGATTCTCTTATCGTTCCAGTCTTATCTGAACTGGTACCGTAAAGCTAGAAATAGGTGTAAGCAACACCTAAGGGATGCTCGGCTCAATTTTGAAAAAGGGTTAGCGGACGAAGCTTCAGAGAATCCAAAAAGATTCTTCGCTTATGTCAAAAGACGCTGCGGTTCGAACATGTCAATTCCAGTATTGATGCGTGATGACGGTACTCATGCGCATACGGATTATGACAAGGCCTGCGTACTCAGTGGGCAATATGCGGCAGCGTTTGTAAGGGAAACCATTTTGACAGGCGTTGAGCCGGTTTGCAGGACTCCAGAGGGTTCAGAACTATCTGAATTTATTGTAGCGGAGACTGCAGTTCGTAGGCTGTTACAAGGGCTGAACCATTCTAAGGCCTCTGGGCCTGATTTAATTCACCCGAAACTGTTGCATGAATTGGCTGCGGAAATAAGTGGACCGCTCGCTATTGTGTTTCAGAAATCGCTTGACAGTTGTGCATTGCCTTCCGAATGGAAGGAAGCTGTCATCTGTCCCATCTTCAAAAATGGGGACAGGGGTCTGCCTGCAAATTACAGGCAAGTTAGTCTGACGAGTGTAGTAGTCAGACTCCTCGAGAAACTGATGAGACATTTATTGGAGAGTCATCTGAGTAGATTTAATCTACTTAGCAATGTACAACACGGATTCCGGAAGGGATTTTCGTGTCTGACGAATCTGTTGGTGGCTCGTGAAAATTGGGCGGATGCAGTGGATAACGGCCACACGCTGGACGTGCTTTTCGTCGACTTTTCGAAGGCATTTGACAAGGTACCCCATTTGAGCCTCGCGCAAAAGCTGTCCTCCTACGGGGTATCTGGCCGCGCCCTTCATTGGGTGACTGCCTTCTTGGAGGGTAGAGAACAATGTGTACGAGTAGGCCGGGGTCTGTTATTTGGGCAGTCTGTCCTCAGCGGCGTGCCGCAGGGCTCCGTCCTTGGACCGCTGTTGTTCTCTATCTGTGTGAACGACCTACCCACGGAGCTTGAGGTACCATCGCTGCTATTTGCTGATGACCTGAAGCTGTGGAACATTGTTGATGTTCCTGGGGGTTCCGAAGCTATTCAGCGAGCATTGGATAAGCTTTGGGACTGGTCTACTTTATGGTTACTGCCCATAAATCAGGCAAAGTGCTCCGTTCTTCGAATTGGAGGAGGTTGTCCTCCTGCGAAGTACTTGGTCGGTGGGGTCGAACTCCCCCGTGTATCTAGCCAGGTTGACCTAGGCGTCGTACACTCTTCGGCGTTACACTCCGGCGACAACTGGAAGATGGCCGCAAGCAGAGGTTTACGCATGTTGTGGTTAATCCGACGTTCTTTCGGAGTCTTGACGGGCGGCATCTTTACGAGGCTGTTCTCGGCTTTCGTTCGCCCTCATCTGGAATACTGCGTCCAGGCTTGTCCGCCCTGCCTCGTCCGGGACAAAATGGAGCTAGAGAGGGTTTTACGAGTGGGTACTAGGTTAGTCGAGGGATTACGGGGACGGACGTACCCCGAGCGTCTACTTAGTTTGGGAATGCATTCAATGCACTACCGAAGGCTTAGAGGAGACCTAATCCTAACCTACCGTATCTTGACTGGGAAGGTTGGTCCAGATTTGTCTTGGCTATTCAGTCCCGCTAGATTGTCTGTTCTACGCGGTCATTCGTTGAAGCTGGACAAACCGCGGTCCGATCGGATTAGGGCGGAAATCCGGCTGTCACGCCGAGTTATCGACCGCTGGAACATGCTTCCGGAAAGTGTTATCAGGGAATCTACGGTTAAGGGGTTTGAGCGGCAACTTGACGCTCTTGGGTGGCAACACGAAACCTTTCCATTTTCCTGAGTAACTCACATCTTCGTACTTCGATTTTCTTTTCTCTACTTTTCTTCACGTATTGGTATTATTTTCTTATTTAAGTGCACTTCCCTATTCTGTACCTTCGATTTCTCTTCCTATCCTTTGCTTACTTCACGTGACTGCCACAGCAGGGACTGCTAGGGCAGGAAACGTGGGCATTAACTGGTTGGCCAGGGTGCGATACGGGTGTTTCCGTTTTAGATCCATCAATAACTGAGCACTTCATCAATTCCTGGCTCAACGATCCACTCAAGATGGAACACTCACGGGATTTTCCTATCGTTCCAGTCCCCATCTGAACTGAACTGAACTGTACTGAACTTGAACCTGACCTTGAACATTGTTTGCGGTTCGCGTGAACCGCAGTGATTTAGCAAAATGAAGGATTGCGCCAGTCCACCTGTGGACCGCGACGTCGCGGTTGCCGTTGCATCAGACAAGCTCACGGATAATCTCAAAAGTGGTGGGGACTCTCAAAAGGATGTAGACCAACTCACCTTAGAAGATATACGTGAACAAGTACGCTTTATCGAGAAAGCTGTTTCTACGAAGGAACTAAACTACATAACTAGGGTGCTGAGAAGCATAACCTCCGTTCGTCGCAAACTCAATCACAATGTCCTTCGTGGACTTGTCCAAGGCTACTTTCCTAACCCATCTCCACAGAAGACGTATTTCATGGAATTCTTGCCCGAAGTATCTCAAATTTCCTAACAGTTTTTCCTTTAGGCAATGGATGTCGACTGCTCCCCTTCTACTTTTCGGCCGCGTTCTGGTAAAGCTAATGTACCACTTCTTCCCGAAGTGGAAGTTTATCTTCACTTACTCTTGCTGACGTTTCTGATTGATGAGAAGCTGCATGACGAGGTGGGTGTACTATGGATGTCCTACATTCGCAAATCGTTCATTGCCCCATATTCGAAACTGCATAAACTACTTTATTCGCGTCACGTGCTGTTTGTTGATGGAATGTATGCTTCTTACCTCAATGGGGTATCTGCATTTCGTTGGCTCTTACAAGTGTTTTTGCTACTGAGATCGATCTAATTTTGCATCCTCCTCTCCATCAGTTCGTAGACCGGCCCACTAGATTCATAATGGGACAGAACCCATCCCTCTCTTGCCTTTGATAAATCCGTTGACTTTGTCACGACCACTGTATACAACTCGCCTCGGTGCTGGCGACCACGCTTGTCTATGGTTCAAATGCGTTCTTAGTCGTATGACTAGATCATTCCGACGGGGGTCCAAATAAATAGTGTGCAGACTTTCAAGGAATAGAAGTCTAAGCCGCAAAATCGTCTTAAGTCATTTTGTAAATTGGCAATATTCACGCAGCTAATTTTAATTCTTTTCCTTACCACTTTCTTTAAGGATAAAACTAGGGCAAAGCCACCCTGGTTTGATTATGCCGCACAAAAACAACAGACGTACTATGTGTTTGCGAACTTATTTGTCTGCTTCAGCATGCACCTACAAGCTCCACCGCGAGGCTCGAAACGCCTGCTGGTAGCCTCTGCGAGGTGATCGACTGCAATATGCGGTTCAGCTTGCTCGTAAAGCCTCATGTAATCCGCTTTTTGCTTATTTCAGAAGCCTACGCAGGGATGACGAGACATGGTGGTCTGAGCGTGCTTTAGAGATGAAGACCACTGCCCACTGGCAAGACTCGCAGGCTTTTCCAACTCATTCGGTCCACTGGCCTCAGGAAGCCTGGTGTCTGAGGTCATTTGTGAGGTGGATGAGTCTCCGATCACCAACCAACAGAGGCGTATGGACCACGGCCGAGCACTTTCACTCGCAGTTCAACTGGCCTCCACCATCCATCAGTACATGCGGTACACGTTATCCGCCCTGGCTCGTCACTCTGAATCCACCCAGCGAAGCGGAAGTCTGCCTCAAGATTCGACGCTTGAAGCGCTTCAAGGCTGCCGGCTTAGACGGACTTCCTCTGGAGCTATTCAAGTACGGCGGTGTGGCGATCATTAACCAGCTGACCGCGCTCTTTGCAAAAATTTGGCATGAAGAGAAAGTGCCTTTTTTGGGGAGAATCAGTTATTGTCCCGATTTTCAAGCAAGGCGCTTGTACTTCATGTGCAAATCATCGCGGGATTAATTTTCCTTCGGTTACCTCTAAGCTATTGGCATCCATTCTGCTTCGCTGGCTATCCCCAGTACGTGAATCATACTACCTTGAATAACAACCTGGTTTCCGTCCTGTCCGCGGATGCCTGGATCAAATCTTCACGCTCCGCCAGCTCCTCGAACATCGCCACATTTATCACAGGCCCACTATCATTGCATTTCTAGACAGGCGTGCCACTTTTGACGCCCTTGACCGACCTGCTTTATGGCGTTGCTTACTAAAGAACGGGGTGCCAGAGAAATATACCGCCATCTTACGAGCACTTTATTTTCATACATCCGGCAGATTGAGGGTGTATGGCAAGCTTTCATCGCAATTCACTGTCAATAGCGGTGTGCGACAGGGCTGCCCTATGTCCCCATTCCTCTTCAACTTCGCAATCGAAGACGTTCTGTCGAATGCTCTAGTAGGTTTCCGACATTTTGGCTTAGAGTTTCTACCGGGTGAGCGCGCGACCGATTTAGATTGTGCTGATGATATCGCCTCACTTGGTGACGATCCTCAGAGTATGCAGCTCATTCTGGATCGTTTGGCGGTTGAAGCATCTAAGTATGGCATGAGCTTCGCCCCATCGAAGTGTAAACTACTGCTCAAGGATTGCCTTTCACCTGCTCCCGTACTCACTCTCAAAGGTGCACAACTTGAACAGGTAGATAGTTTCGTCTACCTTGGGAGCTGTGTTTCTGCTGACGGCACTATCAACAAAGAAGTTTCTCTTCGTATCACTAAAGCTCGATCAGCATTTGTCAATCTGAGGCACTTGTGGCGTCGTCGTAACGTCATTCTCACTAAAGGGCCGCGTTTACAGCGCATCAGTTCGCTCAGTATTGTTGTATGAGTGCGAGTGTTGGCCGATTCGCGTGGAAAGCGTGCGTCGTCTTTCTGCCTTCGATAACGGTTGCTTAAGGAGGATCGCTCGTGTTTGGTGGCAGCATCGAGTTAATAGTAATGACGTTCGACGTCGCATCTTGGGGAATGCAAGTATTCCCTTCAACAAAGAGGTTTTGTTGCGCCAGTTGAGATGGCTCGGTCACGTCCTACGCATGGCACCTGAGCGTCTACCGCGTCGCGCTCTATTCGCTCGTCAAGGACCTGACTGGAGACGACCGCGTGGTGGTCAGCCTTCCACTTGGCGGCAGCACATGAAGTCGCTGACGTCGTGTCTAGCCCCTGTTGGATCCGTACTTCTTCCAGGATGGGAACGCAAGGATGAGGAGTGCCAATGGCTTAACACACTAGAAGACCTGGCCCGCAACCGGAATCAGTGGAAGAATTGTGTACAGTATTGTATTGATTCACCTGTTTACTACTACTAATATTGAAAATGACAAAGAACTGAAAAAATCAGCGTGTGACAAACAAACTAAAAAGGTTTTGTTCTATTTCTTTGTGAAAATGTTCCATTCTTCCTGCGGCATATTAGTTGAAGTGTGTTGCTTACCTTCAGCTATCATGCCACAATGATTATGACGAGATGAATCATGCTTATCTGCTGATGTCCATGGTTTTATGCTGGCTCTGTGTCTAGTTAGTAGACTGTGATGGACGTGATGTTCATTGACTTTCTGAAACCTTTTGACTCCCTTCAGCATTCGCGGCTTCTGTACAGGCTGGAATCCTACGGTATTTCTGGACTTGTCTTACGATGAATTTCAGCTTTCTTAATCGGCATGGAGATGATTGTTCGTATGGATTCTTGTCGAGAATACTTTCTCAGTAGGGTCCTGCAACGTTCAGTCCTTGTCCGCCTTCTATTCACTTTATACGCGCTAGGAGTGCTATCCCTAATGCTGGCGGATAATTTACAACTCTGTTTCACAGTAAACGATCGGACTGGTCCACTGACCCTACAAATGGTTCTAGATAAACTTTGGGACTGGTCCCTTTTATGACAGTTGTCCTTGGATCTCGCAAGATGTTCACTCCTACGCCTATGACCAAAAGACCCATCGCCGCGTTATTTGCTTGGTGACAATGAGGTACCACGGTCGCAACTCCAAGCTGACCTGGGAGTCTTGCTGTCACCCGACTTTAAGTCCAGTGAACAGTGGGTGGCAGCTGCTCGCAAAGCATTCGGCATGTTGTGCATGATCCGGAGGTCACTCGGGTTCATGACGACTGAAATGTTTGTTAGACTATTTTCGGCTTTTGTAATGCCGCATTTGGAATACCGTGCACGGGCTTGCCTCCATGCCTCGTCCGTGACAGGATGGCAGTTGAACGGGTCTTGCGGTCTAACACGAACATGGTGCATGGTTAAAGAAGCTGAGGTACACTTAGAGGCTACGTAACTTGGATGTTTTCAATGCGTTACAGGTGACTTCGGGGCAACTTTGTTCTGACATGTCACATACTAATGGGTTAGATTAGTCCCGATTTAACTGATCTGTTCCACCCAACTCAAGTGTTAACCCTTCGTGGCTACCCATAGAAGTTGCACAAAATCCGATCTGACCGGATTGGGGCAGCTTTTCGGTCATCGCGTGAGGTCATAGGTTATTGGAACGCGCTGCTCTCAGAAGTTGTTATTGGCACTGACGGTGAATGTGTTTGAACTTCGACTGGACGCCCTCGGTCTGCAGTTTAAAATATTCCCCTTCATTCCTTAAGCTTACTCATCTATCACCGCCTACTTCTTTACTCCGTTTCACTTGCATCTCAATATTACTTATGTAATTTGTTAAGCTTATCTTTCCCCTTATTTCTTTGTCTTATTCACTTGGCCGGCACAGCGAGGACCGCTAGCGCATGGCACATGGCCATTGTTTGATTGATCATGTGAATCGTCTGTCTTAACTTGGCTCTCCTTTTTCAGATCAATCCACCGCATTCCCTGTTGGCTCAACGACAATTTCGAAGGTGAAACATTCACGGGGTCTTCCTACTATTCCGCTCCCACATGAACTTGAACTTGACTACCACTCACCAGTTAACCTAGGCGCTCCTGCAGTTTCCAGTTCTCGTGTGACCGCTACGGGTAACATGAGGCCGAGCCGCCCGTACATTGTGCTAATGCAGTGCTTGCATTATACGTAAGTACAGTACGTCTGACGCCAGAAGGCCGATGACCGAGTTCATTTAACTACCCTGGCTTGCTTATGGTGAACGCCGGTCATTTACGGTTGTTGTCCCCACCATCAAATAGCCATCCAATGTTTAACGACATTCGCGAAATGCTACTGCGCACGCACAGATATGAATTTCTCTCGCCTTAGTGGTGAGGACGTATGGAATTCGCGGCAGATGAGTGATTTAGTGTAGGACCCAGCTGATTGCAGGCGTAACCTGGTGAAGACGCACCGACATGAGGCTCTTTTGGTTATCGAGCGAGATGCGTACGGACAGGCACAGCGTGTTTCCGGCGTCAGCTGTCAGCTAACTTCCCGCTGAGTGATGAAGGTCATGGCCAACCGTAGGCGTTGGAGCGATCGATGGTTATGTGTGTGTATCGCTGGCTACGCAGCGCGAAGTCGGTGTAGGTGCAACCGAACCTGCGGCGTGAATGTGCGTACGTGATGGCAGCTCAGCGAATCGGGTGTTGGATTATCTGAGGACAAGGTTAGGCATCGCGAGTCATGTCAGTGTCATGAAATCACTACCACAGGTAAAGGAGCACGAGCAGACAATTCAGTGTGGATCACGTAACATGACTGTTACTCAGCGCGCGCTGATTATTCGGATGTACGGTGAATACGGTTTAAACGCCGCACCAACTTCACGA